GTTTTTTGCTCCTCTCAAATCTTCAACATCCGTTTTTCAATTCTGAATCTCAGCTGATGTTTTGCTTATTTTAACAAAAAGTCATCAGAACAGACTTCCACTTGTGCCCACTGCCAACTCAACCAGGTAACTCACACTCTGACCGTCATTCTGTCGTAATGAATAAACTGTCCGTGTTCCTACATCAAGCTCTCCACTTGAGCACGTGCTCCCAAGCTCTCTAACCTGTCTATTCAATGACTTATTTTACAAATCGTTTTTATTTTCTCCTGCATCATTTTTTCCTCCTCATTAGATTGTTCCCATCAGAATAAAAATTAGGTATGATTTGCACCATAAGAAAAACAAAACAAAACTAAAAAGACTTTAACGCCACGTTCCAACATAGCCCATCATCCGCTTTTCCTCATTTACAGTGCTTTGCTGGATTCATTTCCTTTCCAACCCATTTGCTCTTAAACACACTCCAGTCAGGCTTCCCTCACTGCCCCCACACCCCCTTACAAATCTGGTATCATCATGCTCTCCACTTCTCTCTTTTGTCAAATCCTGTGGTCAATCTCAGTCCTTACGCTACTGACCTGCCAGCATCACTGGCACAGCTGCTTACTCTCTCCTTTTTGAATCTCTTCTTCATTTGGCTTCTCTCTCTTTTCTGTCTTACTGCTTCTCAGTTTGCTGACTTTTTCCAATCTTCCAGTCTTCTAAACGTTGTAGAGCTACAAGACTCAGATATTTTACTTCTATTCTTTTTTCTATGCTCACTAACTCAATAATCTCAACCAATAGATTATTTTAACTTTTCCTAAATGCTGGTGAAAGCTTGACACACACTATTCAATTGCTTTACTACATCTCCATCTGGAAACAAAATAGACACCTCAAATATAACAACTTCCTAATTTTTTTTCCAGGCATAGAACCTGTGAATTTTCTGTTTACCAACCATCTTATTCCTTGCTCTACCTATTTTATCACAGTAAATATAGAATCAGTTCATTTACTTTCTCTGGGGGATAGTAAAAATTTAAAGTAAAGTGGAAAATTTCATGTAATCTTTGATCCCTCTCTTACGCCCCAAATCCTATCCACCAGCCAATCAATACATTGAAAATTGGTTGTTGATACTGGATCAGATGGGAAAACGGGGACATAGCATGCTTGGACGAAGACCTGAAATGAGGAAGAAGCTGAATTTGGGTCTAATGGGGATGCAAAGGACGAAGGAGTTCTTGCAATTGTCCATTCCAGTCTGGCCTCCACATGCCACACACAAGGTTATATTGGAAGAGGAAGTAGTCAGCCCAGGACACTCACTATGAAGAAGACAATTGAGGTAAAGGAAATAGAAGAGGTAAATGATGGAGAATTCAGAGAACTTTAGAAAATTCTCAGGAATCCATTTTATGAGGCTGTGATGTCATACTGATGTCACACAGGTGACTTGATGGACTGAGTTCCAGCCCAGAAGGCTTCAGGGTGGCTGTGCAGCAAGATGAGGGTTGTTTGGAGCCCTGCATAAAAGGAAAGTAGGGGCCGCAGCAGATTGGTATGTACTTCCCAGACTGGGCCTTTCTTCTGACATTTTCCCCCTCACTCATCCTCTGTAGACGTCTTTCTCAGGCTCCACATTCCTCTACCCTGAACCCAGCCTCTCTTAATTCCACAGTCCATCAAAAGCATCTGTCCCAGGGACGTCAATTCCCCTTCCATGTGGACCCTACACATGCCCCAAGACCCAAGACCCTCTTCCTGCTCATTTTCCCTACTTTCATCCCTGTTTGAAACGATGACCTTGATCTTCTATCGCCTCCCCCAACAGTGTCCCCACAGACCTGGGCCTCCTACTGCACACCATGGCCAAAACCAGAGATGCTCTGTCTCAGGGCAGCCCAGTGCCAGTCCAGGATTCCCACCTTATCAAGGTGACAGTGAAGACACCCAAGGACAAGGAGGATTTCTCAGTTACAGACACATGCACCACCCAGCAGCTGAAGGAAGAGATATCCCAGCGCTTTAGGGCCCACCCTGATCAGCTGGTTCTAATCTTTGCTGGCAAGATCCTCAAGGACCCTGACTCACTGGCCCAGTGTGGAGTGCGAGACGGCCTCACCGTCCATCTGGTCATCAAGATGCAGCGCTGTGCTGTGGACAGTGAGTGCCCAGCTGCTTCAGTCCCTACCCCAGGCGCAAGCCCCAGATCACTGCCTCCTCCAAGCTCCATTTACTCAGCAGATCTGCCTCCCACCTTCAGCTTAAGTGTCCTCACAGGCCTCAACAGACTGGGCCTGTCCTCTAGTGGCTCCCCCGAGCAACTAAGCTCGCTTATGTGGCAGCACGTATCTGTGCCTGAGATTTTGACTCAGCCCACTGATGAACCCTTTGTCCAGAGTCTGCTGTCTAACACGGGCCTGGTGCACCAGCTAGTTCTTGAAAACCCCCATATGCAGCAGCTGATCCAGCACAACCCCGAGATTGGCCATATTCTCAACAACCCTAAAATCATGCGGCAGACGCTGGAGTTTCTACAGAAGCCTGCCATAATGCAAGAGATGATGCGTAGCCAGGACCGGGCACTCAGTAATCTGGAAAGCATCCCTGGTGGCTACGGTGTGCTTCGTACCATGTACACAGATATTATGGACCCAATGTTGAATGCAGTACAGGAGCAGTTTGGTGGCAATCCCTTTGCAACTACCACTCCTGCTAATACCACCACCAGCAGCAGCCAACCTTCAAGGATAGAGAATTGTGACCCTCTCCCCAACCCCTGGACTTCCACATATGGAGGCTCAAGTGGCATGCAAGGAAAGCGGCCCGGGGACCAGGATGCATCCAAAATGAGAAATACGGTTCCAAACTTTCCAAGTAATATAGGATTCTATGACTATCTCCAGCAATTACATGAGACAACTCCGTCTCTGGGGACCTATTTACAGGGGACTGCATCCACCTTCAGCCCAAGCCAGAAACCACCTCCACCAGGAACAAGAGTTTCCCCAACTTCGCTGTCATCCCAGGAACCTGGGTTAGGCCATCCTCTACAGAGGGAGTCACTGGCAATCAAGGGGAAGTCCTCCTGCTCAGCTTTCCTGAGATGCCCCACAGAGAACACTACTGAGCAAGGTGGAGGCCACAATGGCATGGGGAATGGCTCTAGCGGCCACTCCAGCAGCATGCCTGATCTTGTCTCTGGGCTTGGAGATTCTACCAACAGGGCCCCATTTGTCCCTTCACCTCCTTCCTCCATGGCAGCTCCTCCAAGAACCCCTGAGCCTTCCTGGCTGCCATCCCGAGCTTATCCAAGATCTTTGATGCCGGCTGGCATAAATCAGGTGCCACAGTTGCAGGATGAGATGCACCAACAGCTGCCACTGCTGTTGCACCTTCAGGCAGCCATGGTGAACCCCCGTACTATGCAAGCCCTGGTGCAAATTGAGCAAGGTCTGCAGATCCTGGCTACAGAAGCGCCTCATCTCCTACTCTGGTTCATGCCTTGCCAAGGAGGGCTGGGGAGAGTGGTAGGAAGTATCGAGTCTAGAGAACGTGCCCCCATGTCTGAGGTTCCCCCGACAAACCTAGCTCCCGAGGTTTCCTCAGCACAAGGGCCTATGGAGCTGGACTTCCGTTCCACTCCCTTCTTCCAGATGTTGCAAGCTTTAGCTGGTGCCAATCCCCAGCAGCTGCAACCTGAGGCTCACTTCCAGGTGCAGCTGGAACAACTGCAGTCCATGGGCTTTCTGAATCCTGAAGCCAACCTTCAGGCCCTCATTGCCACTGAGGGTGATGTGAAGGCTGCGGTGGAGAAGCTGAGGCAGTCACAGGAGCTCTAGTCATTCAAACCCTACCTTTTCCTCTGTGCCTTTTCCGCATATCTAATAACCCTAGCTCTCCCATTCTTGAAGACAGCTGCACTATAATCCAAATTTACTTTGATGCCCTTTACTGAAGAAAGGATGTTGTTCTAGAGTCAATGAGGAAGACTAAGAGCCAGAGACAGGGTGGGTGTGCTGTGTGACCCAACAACCCCTGCCACTGTCCCACCGAAGGGCCCCAGCGTGAGCTCTGTTTCTGCCTGTCTTGAGATGCAATTACATCCAATCTCTAGTGTCAGCCATTGCTTGAGTCTGATTCTTGTGAGCGAGTGTAAGGGGAGGGTGTGGACAAAGATGTGGTGATAAGGGCTTTTTCTGCATGGATGGGAGGGCTTGGGCTGGGAGAAGAACTTAAAGGTTTGAGGTTAGGAGACTCAGAGGCATGGAGAATAGAGGCGGGAATGCTGCTGCAACTTTCCTGATGTCCTTCCAAGGGTCCTCCAGATTTTGTGTCCTGTAGGAGCTGCTATCATGTAATCTGTTCTTTGTGGCTCCCTACCAGCAGCCAGACTGAAGAGTGGGAACAGTTTTTTTATTTTTTATTGCCTCTGGAGACTATCCCACAGGTGACGGCCACTTTCAGTATTTGATGCTGATCCCTGAGTGAATGGAAATAGAGCAGCAAGGATTCAAGCTGAATTCTACAATTCCTGAATCCCACTGAGTTTATAAAGTCCTCTGTAGCTAATTGAAAAGAGTTGGTTTCTTGAAATTTCTTGCTCAAGAATTGAGCAGTTACCCCATGATCTGCATTCTGCTATCTATGAGGTATTAAGTTTGAGTAAAAGAGACATGATCCTGCCCTCGTGAGTTTATGATCTGGTAGCAGGGACAGTTCCAACTTTGAGTATGTGAAGAATGCTCATATATAATTCCAAACTATGATAAGAACTATAAAGAAAAAGGTGGAGAATTATAAAATATCATAAATAGGGACTTGATCTAATCAGGGAGACAGGAAAGGCTTCTGTGAGTGTGTACTCCGAGCTAAAACCTGAAAAGTGGTAAGAAAGATGTAGGTTACACTCTGAACATGGAGGAACACATATTCCTGCAGATGAACCAATACTTAAAAAGGCACTGAGGTAGGGGGTGCATAACACACATAAGGTACCCTCGGCATCTCAGACTAAATGCTTATTGGCATTCAGGGATGCTTTCACAAGTATAATCAGAAAAGCTTTGGTGGTTTTGGATAAAGAGGTGAGGTGAATGGATCTGCACAAGTATTATTAAAAGATCAGATTGACTCCTGTGGCAGGCAAAGACGCTAATGGCCAAGAGAGGAAATAAAAAAACCAGCTTGAATCCTATTGCCACATTTCCAGTATTGACATGGTCACATTCAGAATATATTTCAAAGAGAAATCCCATATTGCTGATAAATTAAATGTGAGGCATAAGGAAAAGAGAGGAATCAAGGGTAATTTCTGTGTTTGGGTCCTGAACTACTGGATGAATGATAATCCTATCAGAAGGGGGACGGGGATGGTGTGAATGGCAAGTTTGAGATTCTGCTCTGACAGTCACTATCTTAGTTGTAAAATTAGCTGAGAGAGATGAGACTATGGGAGAAACACCTTGTGGAGTGGGTCAAGAGAACATTGACCAGTTGAGTAATTCCACTAATCATAATGGATTCTCACATGTGTTTGTTACACATTCATCCTGTTGTTGGATACTTAGGTGAGCACAACATCATAAACTTCCACAACAGTAAACCATTGTCCACTTCTTTAATCCAATCTCTCTTATTTCACCAACCTCCCTTCCTCCCACCTTTTCTTTCTTCCTGGTAACAATTATTTTAGTTAGTACCTACTATATTAGGCACTGGGTTTGCAGTAGCAAATATGATAATGTCCCTGTTTTCGTGGGCCTTGTATTCTAGTGAAGGAAACAGAAAATAAAACTAGTAAGCAAATAGGAAAATATCATGTTTTGATAAATTCTAGGCATGTAATTTAAAGAGACTAGGACAGTAAGTGGTTGAGAAGGCCTTGGTGGAGAGGAGATCTGAGGGATAAAAAGGGACAACCTTGTAAATGTTAGGTGGAGGAACATCAAAGGCTTAGGGGACACCTAATACAATGGCCTTAAGGGTATGTTGGGCACTTCGTGTATTCCACAAGCAAAAGGGAGGCCAGCCATGTGGCCAAGCTCTGTAGGCAAGGGGACAATCACTAACGTCAGGAAGTCAAGGGAACAGGCACTGTAACCTGGAGAGGCTTTGTAGCTAATCAAGAAATTTGGATATTTTTCTCAGGGGGATAATGAGGTTATCTATCATCATCCTTTGAATCTCTTTCGGTTTAATAAAATAAACTAGGACTGCCACAAAGCACACGTGGTTCAAATCTACACAGGATACAGAAAGGAAAAATGTAGCTCATCAGCAGGGTAGAATCAGGCATTTCTCAACCATGAGAGTTCTTACAGCAGCCCACGCATAGGTTAGTATTGCCACACAGGAGCCCTCTTCTTCCACATGACAATTCCAGGCACTGGGAGACAAAATCCACATTAGGCAAGTCAGCTAGTTGCTGTGTATTAAGATAGCCTTTATACTCCTTAGGAGCTAGTGTGTGTGTGTGTGTGTGTGTGTGTGTGTGTGGGTGTAGGTGTGTGTGGGTGTGTGTGTGTTATTGTGGTAAAAATATACATAATATAAGATTTGCCATTTGAACCATTTTTAAACATACAGTTCCATAGAATTAATTACATTCCATTTACCTATATTCCAGACTCTTACAAAGGATATGCCCTATTATAATTTCTTCACACTCAGGGAAGCACAAGGCAAAGAATCCCCTTCAGATTTTTATGATACATTATAGCTGTTTCTAATTCAGAGACAGTTTGCCAATCAGGGGTAATTTTTAATCACAAGCAATGTTGCCTAGCAATAGTTGATATTTTGTAATTACTAGTTTGTCAGGGTTACAAAGCCAATAAGTTTAATTGAAAGCTAGGTGTTTATGTAACACACACATGTTTTTACCCACATGCTTCAGACCACATAGCATGCCACGGTCTGGAAAGAATATTAGTGAACACGATGATGTAGAACCGGTTCAAGTAGATTCCACTCTTAGGAAATAAACCTAGTAGGTACTTAGGTTTACTACTGAAAAAGCAAAGAAGCAGAGCAAGAGATATGTAACATTAAAGATACAGAAGAGAGGGTGGACCTAGCTCCTGATGGCCTCCAGAGTTCTCAAATGTGAATTGTGTACATGAGTTGGTCAGTGCACCCTTTGCAAAACAAGCAGTCTAGCAGTTCAAAAAGACCCAGAGTTGTGGGACTTTTATGCCACTAGGCTAGGCAGGGACAATATCAGGCAAAGAATAAAGGCAATGTTTTGCAGAGTAGATTACATAGTTCATGTTCTCACTAATCTATCATCAGGTCCATGGCATTCCTAGCCACAGATGGGAGTTTAACCAGGAGAATGACATATGCTGGTTTCCCTTGCCTGTTAAATTAGCAGTTGATGTTGGGGGTTAAGAGTTAAAGCCAACACATTAGTAAAGGGATCTGCAGAAGTCCAGGCAAGAGATTGTTTAGACTTGTGTGGTAATCGTAAATGTACAGTGATAGATTTAGGATATGTTTTTAAGTCTTGGTGGACAGGAATTGATGGAATTGACATGGGGCAGAAGGTTTTGTAGCTTGAACAGTTAATAGGATAATGGCCTTTTAACTAAGAAGGAGAATAACTGGGGAGGAGCAGGTTTACAGATGGAAATAAAAAAAATACTGTTTTGACCATGCTGAGTTTGAGGTCCCTGTTAACTTCAAGTGGAGATGACAAGTTTAGAGTCCTGGATGCATTTCAAGGCTGGAGATTTATGGTTGCTATTGAAAGCCACAGTATAATATCATCTAGGCAGACTCTGCAGATGGGAAAAATGGTGGGCCCCAGCACTGATCCAAACTTATGAGTATTTATTTTCTTAGTGTAAATTCACAGAAATAGAAATACTATTAGTTCAAGGAGTAGTCAAACTTTTAAGCCTGTTTTAACAGTATAAATTGCCTTTTGGTGTGGCTGTACTATCATATTTCTCCATTAAAACTGGATAGAGAGGTACTGGGGAAGAGTTTTATAGGAAAACATAAGGAGACCTAGAAGGTCAAGGGTTGAACAATTGTGCCCTCTTAGCATCTAATTTCCTTCTCTACTTACACTCTATTTTAGAGATTCAGTACCTCACTTTGCAATTGTTGTTTTGTCTCACATGGGGTGACGGAAATGCAAAAAGGATTACTCAAAGCCCATTTCCTCTGAGAAGTGAGAAACCCAAAGGGGTTAATTTCCAGGAACCCTCAAGAGAGAGGCATTCCTCCTCAGAAAATTAACCCTTGAACTGGGGTTCTGTCTTAGTATTTATTCTCCAGGCCAGAAAGTTACAGAAAAGGAACATAGGTGGAGTTATGGTTAAGTATAGTTTAACAATAGAAGCTGGTAACACCAGTGAAATAACAAAGTGACATTCCATAATGCAATTTGCAAAAGGTTAAGTTGATCCACCAACAAAAGCTTTTGTTCTTAGCAAACATTTTCTTTCCCTACAGCAATTTCCTTAGTATGTTTATAGAAAGATAAAGAAACTTAACATATCAATCAATAGGTTAACCTGCTCCAAAGACATCTGTTCTTGAACCAGCAACTTTGCTGTGTTACAATTCTTTATCTATATCAGAGACTTTAGCCTGGGGAAAGTTTCATGTCTTTTGCAAGGTTAACATTTCTATGTGTAATTTTAAAAAATTAGGTTATACTTGAAACTACAGGGCTTTGGAAACTAACCCCTGTGAAATAAATTTGCTTTATAAATGTTAGTATACTCCACAGCAATCTAGAACTTTCTCTGGAAGCTTAGATGAGCAGTTCAGATGAGCATGTCAGATGAGCAGCCCCCTACCTGTGGGATGATTTATGACTAATGAGTCC